GTTTCAAAGCCGTTTATAGTAAGTAGCGAAACATAAAAAGAGTAGTTTGGATATCGAAAGATTGCTTAAACTCAAACTCGAAGAAATTTTACTGTAAGGCTATTAGTAAACAAGAGATAAAAATTTAGACTCACTTGCGAGTCAATTTATATGTAATTTGACTACACATGTGGAAAAAAAACGACAAAAAAATCTGATTTTAATCAATTTTAATCTAATTTATCGGCATTTTGGCTTACACGAATAAGTATGAATTGGTGTCAGATGTGGAAGTGTATGAAAGATAAGATTAGAACTACACTTATCATTTGTCGACGCGAGGAGTCAGAATAAAATCAAAAGTTGAAATTTCTCAGTTAAAACTGAAGAAAAACGCATTTTAAAGTCATAGCAATTGAAATCGATCAAAATCAGATTTTTTTGTCGTTTGTTTTACATGGATAGTAATTTAAATTTGTGATTTTCTTGTACTTTTATAGAATAGTCTCTTGGTTTTGAGCAAATCTGACTTTATTATATATGCCGAATTAGACAGCACGATTGACAAAGTCTTTTTATGTTCGATGTAGCATCAAGTTTGTCACTAGAAAAATAAATTCAACTTTTTACAGTCAGCTACTATTTCGAAAAGATTATGTACTGAAGTATCATCATGAACATCCTTTAGCTAAGATCATTATCAATCAGGCAAAATAGATAAATAACTCATTCGACGTTTGAAGTTTTAATCTTAGATACAGTTCGATGTTTTACACTTATTAACGATCATTCACAAATTTTCAACTTTATTTTCTTGTGTATTGAAGGAAGAGGAATAAAAAAACCTCTGAAGCGCGACATAATTAAAAGACTTTCTTTTCTAGACACTCGTATATTGCGCCAGCTCTACCAAACCACTTTCGTTTCGTTTAGATATTCAAAGTTACGTCCATGACTGCAAATGATTACGGTCACGTGAGTAAGTGAAAATGATTGAACACCATAAATGTCAAACTGACGTTGTGTAGATAATCTTGACAAGACACAGAAAGCTGCTCTTAAAGACTGCTGGATAGGTCTGATGAATGCTATCAGCACTGAAACTTCGTTGTCTGCTAAGCGTATTGTTAATTCTGATTATGAGAACGAATTATTTACTTGGATTGGCTATGACAATCCGGATGTTCTTCTACTTCAATGGCTCCGTGCGCGTAAATGGGATGTCAAAGCTGCTATTCAGAAAATAATGGATCTGCTCAAATGGCGAATTGAATGGGGAGTTCAAGCGTTGTTGGCTAATAGTGAAAGCGAAATTTCCCTTGAAGAAGCCGCCATCGGCAAAGGTTATTTGATGGGTCATGACAAGGCGGGTCGTCCGATTTGCTACATTCATGCCAGGGACCATATCAGAGGTCAGTTCTCACAAAATGACACTGAGAAGCTAGCCATCTTGACTGCAGAAATGTGCCGGAAACTACTTGAGCCACCTGTAGAAACGATTACGGTCGTTGTGGATATCGCCGGACTTGGCATGAAAAATGTTGACTTTCAGGTAGCCAAAATGTTTATCAACCTACTTCAGAGTTACTATCCAGAGTTACTTGGTCTTGGTATCGTTGTGAATAATTCTTGGTTGTTCAACAGTTGCTGGGCCATTATCAGACCGTGGTTGGATCCCATAATCGAAAGCAAGGTTCACTTTATCAAGAATGAAGCCGATTTAGCCGAATATATTGATCCATCCAACGTTCCACAACGATTGCACGGTAATCGTTCCAATTTCCAATACATTTTTCCATCCACTGAAGACGAAGCTATGATAGCCGCCTTTCGTGCCGATCACCAAGGCAAAAAAGCTGCCCAAGTAGCTTATCGAGAGGCTGCCCGAAACTATTTAAACGTCACTCTACTATGGGCTCACCATGATGACAATCAGAATTTATTAGCAGAGAGGGCAAATGCGACTAAGCAACTTCGAGATGCATTTGAAAAACTTCTTCCTTATATAACTACTCGAATGCACTACCATCGCACTGGAGACATTAAAGAACCAATCTTTAATATTGCCTATGAAAAGCTCTGCGCAAGCGATGAACACACAGTACACTTGTACAATAGACCATTTTGCGAAACTCATATATAAAATATGTGAATTGAGTATTAGAGTGAGCAAGTTTGTTCTCTCTCTTCCTACAGACTCTAATCACGCTGGCTTCTGCTTTTTATATATGCGTGTGTGAAATATATCAAACATAGCATCATATCCTACACACTATTTATCATGAACAATAGTAAATATGCAACTTAGGTCAATCACGCCCGGTCGTAAACGGTCATATAGCAAACATTTATGGCAGAAAACAACAAACGTTAACAGTGACCGTTTACAGCTAGGGGTGGTACTTCAGTTTTACTTTAAAGTTAAAGTTTAAAGTACTACTTTAACCCTTTTCGGCCGGATGTTGCCATTTGGCAACATTGAGCCAATATTTCGTGAATGGTTGACTTATAGTGGCGGTTTATAATGTTCTGACAACTCGATAATTACTGTAAGACATTTCAACAGATTTTCGTGATTCACAACACGGAAAAAAGTTTTCATTGGGAAGATAGCCTGAATCATCTGAAATGCCCTAAAAGAGCGTTCGAATCGTAAAAATGACTTTTCTTACGGTCTGAACACTTGATATCAGAGACTGCTAGTGCTTAATTTTATTTGGCAGAGCTATTATATATTGCATCACTAAGACGGATTATTCGGTGTACCTCGATAATAAGAAATGGCTATGTTGCCATTTGGCAACACCCGGCTGTAAAGGGAGAAAAATTTCAAAAATCGCTATTCACTTTCAAAAGTCAAATCAAGATACTCTACCACATTTTTCACGATAATATATCTATCCATTGGGGAAGGAATATCTCTCTTTTCATCTTTTGTAACACATCTTCCATATCCTGGTCGTGATATACCAGAAGTGCACTGTGGAATCATAATACAAAATGCCGTGAAATATTTAATAATTTAAAAAATGATGTTTTTTGCAAAAAATTGACATTCTCAATGGAAAGAGAAGAGATATATAGTATTTATTACATTCTCATCGAAGTCCTTTTCTAGCCGCTCAGCGTTAATGGCTCAACAAAGTGTAGTATAGTCATCTATATTAATGATAATGGGACCATCTATCATCGAACATAATCATTGGTGAAGAATCTATTCTTTTTATCGTTCTCTAATGTTGTCTTGAACAATTATTAATATAAGATAAAATCTATATTACCGTTATTATTAAATTCTAAGATTATCTAAAGCTCTGAATTTGCGTTGTTATCCATCATTATAGATAATACGAGTTGTATAGTGAGTTGAATATTTCTAAATGTTAGAAGAACGGCGGTTATTTTTTTTTTGTTACCAAAAAGGTTTTAGCAATGGCTGCTCAAACAGCTAAGACAAATACTGTTATATCAAACGATTTAAGTAAAGAGGAGACTGACTCATCTGCATCAGAGGATAAAACGAGTAAAATCGCAGGGAAATTATACCATCACCAATCTTCCTTTTCGCCAATTGTACTATTTGCCAACTGGCGAATACCAACTAACTTTTAGCCACTTGGCGAATTTCGTGCTAGAGATTCGCCAATTGGCGAATATACTAACGAGGGAACATTCCCAGGTGTTAGAGCGATTTTTAGTCGAGACTTAGCGCATTTAGTAGAGCTTAGTGAACTATGTTTATGGTAAAAGAAGTTTGTGCCCATGGTTTGTTTCTGGGGAGAACGAACGTTTTTACTGTTACTGTTATAACAGCTGTCTTACCTAAAGAAAAAATATTATCTGAACCATTTTAAGTCAAATCAAACGCAAACTTTTTCCAAATATAGTAATCTTCTAGTGAAAGATGATATGAGTATATGAGCCAAAAAGAGCTTCTAAAGATAGAGTTACACATTCCATAAAATATTATCACCATTGTACATCTTATTCATCATACTATGTCTTAAAGTTTCAAAAATATATAAGTTAAGCGCTTATAAGATACGCAGCAATTATCTCATCGTACAATTTCAATATGCTTTATAAACGTGATTTTTCATAAAGATCTATTTCTTTTACTTCTTTTCAAATGACTATAGCTGTGATTTTATGAGGGTGTGGGTGTGGGTGTGGGTGTGCCGGTGTGGGTGTGCTGGTGTGGGCGTGGGTGTGTGTGGGTGTCTGTATGGGTGTGTGGGTGTGGGTGTGGGTGTGCCTTAAGAAACACTTGACACCCACACCCCACACCCTAAAATCAAGATTTTATTTGGTTCATAGTTTAGTTTTGAGTATGGAAAGATAAGAAAACAATTATCAATCGATTTGAACACAATATCTAATCTATGTGACTTGAACATTTACTGTATTTTCATAAGCAACCTATTTTCAAAACATATCTTGCAACTCAACTTACATATGAAGAAATATTCATTTTTTTTCAACAAATGTCAAAGTCGAACAATTTCTGGATAAATGAGAATAAAAAATGGAAAGCAATTTTACTGATTCAAACACGTTAGAATACGCTACATGCTAATTTGTGTGTAGCGTGTGAGTGTAACTTATCTTGACCGTTATAAAATATGAATCTTTCATTTGATTGGCTCACTTGTGTGGACCTATATACCTATATACTTATTTATCTCTCTTAGGGGTCGAAGAGACTAGACAAATTAAAACTGAATTAAGGATTAAATCATCTCAAAAAGATGATTTAAGTCTGAACAGACCATTCACGTTCCTTAATTCAGTTTTACTTTGGCTAGGCTGTTCGAGTCCTTATATATAATATAAATAAAGGCACAAAACATAAAATATTGATACAATGAAATACTAATAGTTAAAGAGCTACATAATATGCTTTGAAACTACAAGTGTTTTTGTGTTAGTTAACTTCTTCTCTTCATTATTTTAAGAAGAAAAGAAAGCGGTGAGATCTACAATATAGTTTTGTCTTTTAAGATTTTCTTGTATTGATCAAAATGGAAAAACGACCATCTGCAGAGAGAGCAGCAGACTCAATTGCTGCACTGGCAGTTACCCTTTGTAAATTGACATTCACATGAAATGCAATCTGAATTATGTATTATGATTTCAGCTAGTGATAGTGAACCTTCAAATGTAATATCAGGTGAATCCTATGAACCATCTAATTCGTCGAGCAACAGTTATGATGATAAAGAACTTAATGAAATAAATGAAGCGACAAATGTGATACCTGCACATTCAAATGAAACAAATCTACCATCTGAACAGTCACATGAAAAAATCTAACCTCTACACATTCAAATGGAACAGATGAAGAGACGAGCAAATCATACGAATCTCATAATGACAAAAGAGATCCAGCTCATTTCTCACTCGCCGATTTCGTACAATCGCAATCGGTACGTATATAACTGTGACATTTCTTTCTACTTAAAAGCGCATACTACCGACTGCTTCCACTGCATCAAAAAAAATTAAAATATTTTTTTTATTAAAAGTAAGTCGAGATGATTACATTTCAGCACTTCAGATGAAGCACATTCCTTCATCTCCGCAAAGTGTTATGTCCGCGCAATATAATGCATACGACGTGCATAATCCGAAAAACAGTTTGTTCTTTTTTTATTTATAAATAATTTATTCAAGAAAGCGAAAAATGATCAAATTAAAATTAGGCGTAACATAAATTAGCCATCTGGTGAAAATGAATCGTAAAACTTGTGATAAGAGAGCAAAAGTCTCTCTAAACAAAAGCTCAAATTCTCAAGTGTAAAGATAAAATTGATAAAAACTGTTTTAACTAGCTGATTTCATATGAAACTGATAGTTGAGAAAAAAAGTATTACATATTCAGAAAAGAACAGTATGTTTGAAATTATGAGCAAGTCTTCCTGATTGTTATATTAATATTACGTATGGATTTGTAATTAGATAAATCAGTCTTATGCTTGTATCTAATAACATTTTTTTCTTAGTTTAATTTTTTCACGAAAAGTAAAAATATATATAACTTCAAATGACCTTATTGGCTAAACTTTTTTTATTATGCGAAGAAGTTCTGACTTTCGTCAACTGTATTTATTCAATCTTTCTTCGGAAAGAGAAATTTTGAATTTTTCGATTCTTTAAAAAAAGAAAAAAGAATAGTTGAGAAAGGGCATATCACATTTTTAAACATGATCTATCGCATGACACTTGAACGAATGAAAAATATTGACCTCTTGCACATACGGCGGTCAGTTTCGTCGAGGCATGACGGAGAGAAGGAGGAGAATGATCCGAAAAAAATGAATAATTTTCTGAACAATCAGCGTAGTCGACCCAATATATATATATATTCGATCAATACTTCTTTTTTTTTCTTTAGAAAAACATGTGCAAAAATATCGAACGTAATAATGAAGTACCTGTTGATGAAACAGAAACAGCTACAACTAACAACGTAAGTTGTTTTTATATAATTATCCCATGTCAGCCCGTGCGCAAAAGTACGCGCACTTTTTTCGCACAAGCTGACATGGGATTTTTCCTCTATCAAATCCACTAATTTTCATCAATAATTTTTTTCAGATATCATCGAATGATGAACAATTGCTTTCCATCTTAAACCGAGAAGAGTTAATAGCTTATTTTCAACAAAAGGTGAAGGTCGAACAACTCCATCGGGAATTAGCAATAGCTGAAAAGAATTTAGCAATGGGTCAAATGGTTTTACATAAAATGCAGAGTGAAGCTCTATACAAACATTTAAAAAAAGCTGATGCTACATCTTTATCAACATTAAAACAATGTCTTTTTTTTCTTCTTTTTGTCATGTCAACTAGATACTTTGTGGGCTCTAAATTTCTTTTAAAGTCAGAAAGGCAATACAAACTGAAGTTAATTGATTATTTTGCTTCAAGTAAAGAAACGACTAAAATAGCTGATAGTCGTGTACAGACAAAGATTAGTCTGGTGTGGATACAAAAATATGAGATTGAAAGAACATCTTATCAATAAGATAGTAGTGTTAATAGCTAATATGAAGAGATAAACAAAAGATATGTTTGCTTCCTAATGACGAATATCGAGAGTATGTTTTTACTTTTGTAAATAAAGATCCTAAGATAATTAGTAATTGAAAGATCTAAATGTTTGTTGAACATAACTCTTTCGTGTAAAGACTATTTTAAGTAGATCCAATAAAGAAATTGTTTTTAACAGATTCTTGATCTTTGCGTGACGTCAACGACATTTTAGGAATAAAATCTTCTCATTTCCGTTCTCTTCAGTTTATTTTAGTATCTATTGATATTTTTTTATGCCTTTTCTCATCCGTTTGTTGAAGAGCAAAATGAAAATGATTGTTAGACATCGATAAAACTATGATGAACAATCTATTTACGCACATGTCTTTTCTTCATTACTTTCAAACGTCTGCATAAATGAACAGAAGCATCCGACATAAAGCAACAAGATAAAAGTTCTATCAAAATAAAATTCCTTAGAACTATGAAAATTTTATGTTCTTGTTCGACTTGCCTACAAGCTGGCTTATGCAAACAATTTTAAAATCTTTTAACAAAAACTCTCTGTCAATATTTTATCTTTACATTAGCAAAGTCCGTTCTCGCTGTTAACATTGTCTATAAAACGTGCTTTTCTGGAGTAAAATGAAAGTTGAATATTATTTCGAATTTTTGTTAAAAAACTTCTTCAAAAATGGTCGTATTTCGAAGAGAAAAGATTATATTCATCTCTATTTCCCTCTTAAATATTATATTCGAGGGTGTGTGTGAGTGTGGGTGTGGGTGTGTGGGTGTGGGTGTGGGTGGGGTGTGGCTGTGGCTGTGGGGGCGTCAAGTGAAAATCCACACCCACACCCACACCCACACCCGCACCCACGCACCCCATCCACACCCCACACCCCACACCCACACCCACACTCGCACCCACACCCACACTCACACTCACACCCACACCCACACCCACACCCAACACTTTTGAATCTTCTTCGGAATTGAATGATAGCGTACGGCTTGAAACAAATTTCTCAGACAACGAAAAAGCGACAGAGATCGTTGTTGACAAATGCACAGAGAAAGAAGATTAACTTTATGATTCAAATCAATTGAATGACTTTTTTTATTTTCATGATTTTCAAATAATTTTGATGACTTGAATAATTCCAAAACAGATTCAAAAAAATCTATATTTCGAGGAGCAGATTCTTGAGAATAGCTGTCGTTATCTATAGATTTCACTTCAACTATGAAGATCATCAGACGATTTAGATCAATTTCAATTTCAAAAAAGAAATCGAAACAAAGATCTCTTTCCAAACTGTTCTATAATATTCATCATACTATACATTGGCAAAGACTTGAGGATGAGGGTGAGAGCAGCTTCTGTGATCTCGGTTTCGCTTCAGCTACAAAGCTCCTTAAACGGCAAAGAATCTAGATGATTTTTGAAGCAGAAAATCACAAGACCAAATTACCTATCTTCAGAGTGAATTCAACAAATAACTATCACAATCCGGGTTTCGATTCCAATTAAAGAGATCGATCATCAGATGGTATATTATCTCTGCACAATAATTATTTTTTATCAAATTAAAAGTAATTTAAGAGGATTTTCTTGGCTGTTAGAATATCATATTGCTTGAAGGGAAATAGATTGTATACTTTGTTCGGAGTCAGTGCATCGAATGAAGTAGCATAATATTGATAAGTTTCAGAGTTTGAATATTCGATTTGTAGTATAAAAGTCTCGTTATTTTGTAGAAAGACTTTTTGAAAATTTCATCACTTATAACTCTTGAACAATTGATTCATTTTTGCTGAAAATTTTACTCTATATATAGTTCTTAGAGTTGTGTAATTAGTAGAAAATTCAGCTGTATATCTTTTGTCGGTCGCGAGAAATTTACAATATATGAAGAAATGTAGAAGGACTTTTTTTGAAATTTACTATGTGAATAACTCGTGAATAGTTCGTTCGTTTTCATTCCAATTTTTACTGTAGATATACTTCTCAGGCTTATATAACTAGTAAAAAATTCAGCTTTCTATCTCTTACCATTCTCAAGCGAAAATAACGTTTTTTATGGTACATTTACCTTGAAGTAAACCGCATCTCAGCTAATATGCGGTAAAGTGTTGGGAAACTTCTGCTGCGTAATGCAGGTATACAGTGTAATAAAAAGAGATAGCCAAAAACGGTTTAGATCAACTTTCAGTTTTCTCAGCCAATCATACCAAAAAGTTGCAATTCACTCATACACTTATGGGAATCGGAACAGGTTAATATAAGTTAAAGAATTAATTGTTGATCTATTGCACAGTTACTTAGGAGAGAGTGCATGAGAATATCGAGCATTGAGCATTGCGACTGTACTCTCAAAAATTTCGAGCTCTATGCTTTTTATTACAAATGAAAGAGCATCTGAATACCTAACTGTTAATTAATAGACATCGAGTTATGAAAATCCGACAACCAGCAAAAAAAGGGTGTTTCGAGCATTTTTGACCATCAAGGTAGGGCCTGTAGTTTTTGAACAATACACAATAAAAATGTTGGATTTGCATAGAGTTGTACAGCTTAAGTTGGCGAATCTGATGCACTCCTTACAATTAAGATTTCGTTCAATTTTTACTACACTTCAGATGCTCCTTTGAATACGATTGACTATTCATCCGATTTATAAACTGGCTTTTAAACCATATATAGAAAGATGCATAATGTTTGTTTCTATCAATTGGTGAAAACCGCAGAGCGACAGCTATTTTCGATAAAAAGTTATTCAAAAAACAAGTACCCTTCGTCTTTTTTGAAATAGACAATAAGTTCGACTAATATTTGTCGTTTAGTTATTCCTTAATTGACTTTTGGATTTTCTTTTTTAATTGTTTCAAAAAGAATCTTCATAAAATGGGTTTAAAAAATAACGATAGTTTCTTTTTCTTCGACATTGTCGGTCTTTCATAAGTGTTCTACGACAATAAACCACTAATCTTCCTCGATTTTGTAATCCAATTTGTTCAATTTTCTTTTCATCAATAAACCGCCGTAATGATCTTAGTTGTTCATCCAAGGATGGTAACGAATGGCACTGATCCATATCCTCGTAAATTACTTCGGTTGCCGTCGTTGTTGAAATTTGATTTTTCAGCAAAGCCATGAGTTTCTCTTTCTTGGTTGCTGTGCCAACAGTGTCACCCTCATCCTCATCATATGATTCAAGTAATCGTATAAAAACTTCACTAAATATTAGACCACGGCGGTTCGGACAATATTTGCGCATGACACCAGCAAAACCTTCCAATGTCTTACAGTTCAGAGCAACATGACTGATAAGATGGGCAAGATGGACGCTTTCTGAGTCATCATGAGCTACGACACGTTCTTTCTCACCTAAAATATACATCAGATCTCTTTTTTCGATTGGTTTTCTTCAGTTTACTACTCACTTTGCAATCGTCCGTCAATGACAGATAAAATATTTTCTTTCTTCGGTAAATTTAAAAGTCCTCCACTATTTGTATCTGAATAAATCAGATAATAAAATGTAATTAATAACTCATATCTTAAAGTGTCGTAATCTAAGTGTTTTTCAATGTAATCTTCGTCGATTTGACAAGGATTTAACATCGTTCGAATAAAATCGGGTAATTGTAAGAGCAAACTTTTGATATAATCCAATTCGATTTCCTCACGTATCATCCGTTTGCGATTTTCCTTGATTATCTTTTCTGGTGTTAATTGAAATGGTTGAGATAATTCATCATGAAAATAATCGATAAAACTTTTTTCGATGTAATCCGGTAAGTTGTTATTGATTAATATGTTCGAATTATTTGTACTGAAGGTGGTTGGCAAATGCTTCGTGTCACAACCATAGACAAGATTTTCTACAATTGTTTTCACTGTCGCTGAATTCCTTGGATATTTCTTTAGATATTCTTGTCGAAGATGTTCATAGTAAATTGGTACGAGAACAGATGTGAGATCATTTCTTAAATAACCAATCATCAGTGGTATAGATAAATCATACTCTTGAGTATTGACAATGGGTAGTCGCTTCAATAATTTTTCATAGGTCTTCTCACCAAATTGTTCCGCGGTTTTAAAACCTTGGGATTCATCGATTATAAATCGACATACTTTCTCCAGTTCGATTAAGACTTGTTTTTGCCGTTGTGTATTCGTACGTTGTTGAATTATTTCATAGAGTAATTTTAAAAGTGCAACTTCCTGTTGTTTATCATATCCGTAGCTATCCAGGGTATAGAGATAACCAAGCCAGATACCTTCAAGAATACGTATTCGCTTCATATGTTCATCGTTGATATACAAGGGTATGACTGCATTGATTTGTTCATCGGCGAGAGCACCAGCGATGGAATAGAGATCATTTAGAGTAGTGAATTGTCCTTGGACTTGTTGATTATTTTTTGCTAGATTCATTCCATTGATAAACGAATCATAGGAAATAATAGTATTGGTCACCTTTAAAAGTTTTAAACCTTTCGCGGGATTGTTGATGACTTCTTCGTCACGTTGAACAAAAATACCCAGACATAAAATATTATCCGATGATTTTCTCATAATTTCATAGATATCTTCATTGGAGTAGGTATCCACCCAATCCTGTTTCTGTTCTTTGATCTTTTGCCATGTATCCGATGTAATAGAATCTTTATATCCTTGTAATATCCCACTGATATCTGTTTTTTTGAAATAATCGACATTCTTATAGACTCTTAAATCTAATTTCTTCTTTCGTTGTGTATTAGCAAAGATTGGATCATGTCTCAGTGCACTCAATTGCAATTTTACATGTTCGGGTACTTGAGTCATTTTTAATTGTGTAAATAATTGTCGATATTCCATCATACGTTGATCGATTTCCTTGTAAATTTGTTCCGTTTCTAGACGTTCCGCGAAATTCTTGCTGTTTGTTATTTGAATATCATTCAAATAGGTTTGAATTGATTTGACCTGTTCTTCGTTTTCCGGTTGAATAAGGTTCAGTGCATGGAGACGATGTATCGCACGAATGTCTTTCATCGGTGCTAGGGGAAATTGTGTCGTTGTTGCTTTATCATCAATGAGTGTCAATTCGGTCATCGCACTGAGATCATCACCATCGTTCGTAAGAAAACCAACGGTTTCGTTATCGATATTATTTGCAGTATAAGTCTTTCCATTGGGGAATTTAATGGTGAATTGACGAACATTCAATGCATATTCAAACATATCATTAAAATTATTTTGTAATTCTTTGGATTCTGTTGAATAACGAAAGAGACCTTGCCGAGTACCAAATGTTCGGATTTGATTAAGAAATGTATCGTTCACTTCACCGAAGCCGATCACATGAAATGTAATGGGAGGTGACTGAAAGAGAATAAAGCATTAAATTATTTAAAAAAATAGTTGCACAATGACTTGCATTTGTCATTCCACTTAACATCAACTTTAACATCTGAATACTCTTCTGCAATGCTGGTCCATTTGGTTCATTATCTTGTCCATCAGTCATAAATATGAAGGTTATTGGCTTTTTGGCTGATGCATTTTGTAGAAGATAATCTTTGATGGCAGTGAATATGCAGGCAAATGAGGTTCCACCACTAGCTTGGAGATTGTCATTTCGTTCAGATAATGTCTTTAATGTACGTTTGACATCTGTCTGAGTATTGTATGTGAATAGACGATAGTCTTTTTGTGTACGTTGATAAATATCACGTAAGACTTCACAGACATTGTTTATAGGACTACCAGACATCGAGCCACTGACGTCAATACAACAGATGATGTCAAGATCACCGCCAGCAGCAGCAGCCGTAGTGTTATAGGTTCCTTCTGGATGTGAAAGTTTGATTTCCACATAGTTTTGTTGGTTATAAAGCGGTAATTTCAAATATGCCGCCATAGGTAATTCTTGCTTTCAAATGCGACAAAGTGAATAAATGGAAATAAAATTTTGCTGTTTAAATACAGCAATTTTGCAACCATATTGTGCAATGACTCAAAGGAAGAAACCGAAAAAAAATGACTCATATAGAAATGGCCAGCTTTGTCTCTGGCATATTCTCAGCGCAAAAGAGAAATTTTTCATATGCGAAACCGTATAGTAATCAATTTTTGGACGCTTCATCCATTGTTATGGGAAAATGATCACATTTCATGAAAACGAATCAATTTCTATTAATTATCAACGATAAAGGTTCTGTATGTAGGCCACATTTATTCACGTGCCGACGAACAAAAATAGTGCTTTATTCTTCACACATTTTTTTCTTTCCTACTAATGTATCTAAATATCACTTGCGCACGACTAAAGTGGGTTTTTTACCAAAAAAATGTCGTCGGATATGACGTTGTTGCGCATTAAAGACCAATGCATAATCGGATCTTGGAAAAAAACTATATGAATATTCTATCTAATTTCGATTCGGTTATCACCTAGGGGGAAAACAACGGACCTCAAGACTTCAAAGGACCTCAACGACTGTCGGCAGTAATAGAGTAATAGGAAAGATTACAGTAGTATTATCGGATAACAACGTGCTTATGAGTTTTGGGATCTACCCTTACGTTGATGTTTGATTTGTTTGGTTCTCGAGAGGTGGGGTGTGGGTGTGGGTGTGGGTGGGATGTGGGTGTGAGTGTGGGTGTGGGTGGGTGTGAGTGTGGGTGTGGGTGGGTGTGAGTGTGGGTGTGGGTGGGTGTGGGTGTGGGGTGGGTGTGGGTGTGTGGTATGGGCGTCGGTGTGTGGGTGTGGGTGTGGGTGTTGCTCTTCTGTTTATCCACACCCACACCCACACCACATCCACATTCACATCCACACTCACCCACACCCACA